CGAGAAACAGATAATCCTCAGGTGTTGCTGGTTATCTTCAATTTATTTCGAATGTTTCAACTTCTTTTGGAGTTATCTGCTTCTTCTATTTCTCCGCTCTTACAACAGCGTACAGCTCTCATTAGTTTTATCTAACTCTCATTTATATTTTATATATATTTTAATTTGTACCGCTAAATCTTGAATTTTTATTTAATAATAAGTAATTGTTGTTCAATATGATCGTCTGTAAGGCAGTGTCGACAATTTCGGTTTTTTGTACTATTTACTATCAGCACGAATTCTGATTTATCACTGCTTTTCCGCTTTCTTCTTTTCCGTCAAGGTATAAATCCTTATTAAAATAACTTTATAGGTGTGGTCGAGTTGCCACTACGAATATTTCAAAGCATTTGCTTAACCAATCGGAAGAAAGAATTTTACTAATTTACTAATCAAAAAATGCTTCGAAGCTTGACATCTTATATCAACAAAATAACGAAAAAAGTAATGTAAAATTTCGTTATTAGTTCCTGAATTGTGATTTAGTTAGCGTTACTTACTAGGAAAAGTAACTTCGTTACTCATTCATTACTAAAATAAATAAAGTAACGAAATCAGTAACTTCGTTACTATTTTATATAATGCTAACAATTCTGAGCATAATCATGGTGGAAGTATATCATGGTGGATATATTTCCACCATAATCATAATAATTTTTTGTACATATGTTTTTTGTTATATATAGTCAGAATCTAAAAGGTTGCAACACTTTTCTTTTTGATGGATTTTGGAATGCTTGCTCACCGCGAGCGATTGATTCTTATTCATGGATCGAAATGAAAATCAGTCTCGCTTGGTGAGTAGCTACATTCTGAAACCCATTTTAAAAAAAGTGTTGCAATTTTTTAGGTCCTGACTATACAACTCGATCATATATCATCAGAATTTAGACGTAACACAGGCCACATTATTAAGCTCGATCCCGACTGAGATCTCGCTACTTTTACGTAATCATGTGTACGCGATCAAATAAGAACAGTTTATCATTGACGCCGGCGCGCTGTTAAGGTCAACGTAAGTGGGAATTACGCGGCAGAGGAATGACGCAGGTGAAGAGGCTATCCACTAGTCATAACATAGTAATACTTGATGATGAGAAACGTGAATAGATGCGTTTGATATCACACGGGCAATTAGCATGAATTGGAAAAAACATAAAAAAAATATAAAAACATATAAAAAATAGAAAAACAACATTACAAACAGTAATGTTGTTTTTCTATTTTTTAGCAAACTTATAGGAGGTGTACATAAGGAAGGTGGAGGGTGACCGTATTTTTTTACACGCAACTGTACACTTGCGATTTGAGATGTTTAAAAAACCCAATTGTATCTGTCACATAATAATTTGAAATGTACACACGCGCGTTAAATTTTTGTGCGAATATTGATTACATACTTGTAAAAACAAATTATGATAAATTGAAAAAATATCAAATTAAATAATATCAAAGATTTCAAATCTTCACTTAATAGATATATCATGAAATGTTTTTAGTACTTTTAAGTTAAATATTGTACATATACACACACATATACGAACTTAAGACAAATTTCAATAATTTTCGAAAATCTGCAATCAGCAAAATGTCTTATGGCTTTTGTTTATTCATCACTATTTCAAATTATTATGATGTCAGAAAACACATATAATAAAAATTGCAAATATATTTGAATACAGATATTTTTCAATAAAACGACGACTGCAATCGATAGAATAGATTTCTAAAATATCAAAAACTTTGTTTTCAGAAAGAAATCAAATTATATTTTCTTCTATATATGTACATTATATAACTTACTTCTTTTTGTTATACATAATTCATTTACAGATATATAATTTATTAATAATTATTAAT